CAGGGCGGTAGAATGTTGTGTCTTTAGACACTCCTGGTTAAGAGTGGGTGAGGGAAGAACACAAAACCAGGCAGCTGGCATTTTGCTTGGTACTGTCCTCACACTTTGATGGAAGGATGGTAAGCATCCTTTTGTGCAGTGCAGTTGGGAAATGAAAGCTGTGTTGGAGGGCCAGCTTTAAACTGGGCATGGTGAAAGGACAGGGGAGCAAAATCCTTGCCAAGAGAGTAAACAGCCATGAGGGCTGCCCTTTCATATGCTCTCAAGTGATTTTTACAGCAGTAGCAAGGGTAGAAACAAAATAATGCCGAAGCAATTTTAAAAAATGAATCAGAGCTGTGGTCCTTTGGGAAAAGATTCTGGACAGTATCTTCCTGGGAAAAGACACAACACTGATGGTTTTCCCTAAGGAGAGAGACTAAAGATAAAAGAAAAATGCACACTTCTGTTAGGACGACCACATAGTTGTGAGCCCTGTAAGATAATGACAGAGAACATGGCAGCATTGGCAAACGGGGGGCAACCTGCAATTAATGGACTGCACAGAATCCTGTCATATCCCCCTCCCACCCTTCCCACTCAGATGATCCACGTCCTACCCAAAGGACACTAATGAGATTATTTCTGGACTTAACTCTCACAGCGAACCTCATGGCAAGTTGCAGTATTGGCGGGTTTCTGAGTGTGACCAGATTGCTACAAGTCAAAGCAGTTCATCCAGTTTAACAAACAGGTATCAGAATTCTGTCCCCAAGCACAGCACTGGATGTCAGAAGCAGAGCGGGCCTGGGGATCAGATTTTTCAGCAACGTCTTCATAGACACAGAGGAGTCCCCTGAAACATGGTGATTTTGTAGATGGGCGGATGAGTCTGGGGACAGGGAGCCTGTCTGCTTGCTGTAAAGGAGGGTCTCACATTGGCTGAGTGGTTGTTGTGAATTCATAGCCCTGGCCTCTGGTGTTGGATCTGAAATACACACTTTAATAAGTCATAGATTTCCCTGTGAATATAATCCAAGAAGACAGTTGTAGGCAGGCTTCACACACAGATTTCATACATTTACTCCCTGATTCATGGACAATTGCTCTTTGCACGCTGGGATGGGACCAGGGTTATTAAAAGAGCACTGATTGTATGCCCTGCCCACCGACAAGACAGTGTCTAAACCTGAGTGCTGCCCCGCCTTTCCCTCTTTCCCTTACCCCTTTCCTCCTTTCCTCTCCTCTCTCCTTGTTTCCTTCCTTTCTCTTTTCCTTTCTCTTTGAAGGAGCTAATGGAGTCTTGTATGGGCTATGACAACTTTGAGATTCTAGATATTCATTTAAAAAAACACAAAATAATTCATTTTTTTAAAAAGGTGTTCCACAGGTAATTTAGTTTTTTATGCTGAGCTATGATCCCCCTGTATTTGAACATAACCTCAGCTTCATGCATGTGTGTTTGTGTGTGTGTGTGTGTGTGTGTGTGTATCTGTGCCTGTGTTGTTTAGTGTCAGAGAAGAGACTAACTCAGAACTTATTGGTCATGAATACTGACCCCCAAAGCAGTTCAAAGCACCTTTTACCTTTTCTGAGGTATCTATGTCAGCCCTACAGAATGGACTAAAGACATCCCTTCTCTCTAGCTAGCACCTTCTTATCACCCTACGCGGCATGGTACCCTTGGTTTGACTTCACGATCTTTAACACCGGTTAGCTATTCCAGCTGTGACCCTAAAGTTCTGCTCACTGCCCCTGACACAACAATGCTGCTGGGGGCTGGCGTCTTCTCGCTGTGAGTTTGTGAGAGAAAGCTCTAAGTCTTTACCTTCTGAAAAGAGTGGAGTGTTCCTCAGACAAGTCATCATCTGCTCATTGTGATGTACTAATGTGCTCACCAAGTTTCCCCTTCTTATTTTATGAGAGATTGCCTTGAGCCCCTGGGATACTAAGGGAGATAAGGAGGAAAAGAAGAGAGAAAGACAAAAAGGAAATCCCACCATATCCCACACGGGCCCCTGTTAACTTCTGTGTCAGCTTCCTGGTGAATGCTTACACTAGCCCTCAGCATGAAAGCAGCCGCGCAGCAGAGATAAGTTACAGGAGGTGCAGACCTGGGATTAATTAATGGTTAACTGAACCTGCCACCTCTACATAGCCACATGCCAGCCCTTGGAGTTTATCATCAAGAAGAGTCATGTTAGTCTGAAAAGCCATCTTTATAAGAAGCTGATCTTGACTCAGGTCTGGGTCACCTTCAGATGGGAAGGTGGGAGGGGATTTGGTCTAAGCATAAATAGACTAATCTGTGCTGGGGACATTTTGGTAACAAGAATTCTCTCAATGCCCAGGGCTTATGGATCAGAGGAGGCATTGGCCTCTGAGCAGTTTCTAAGAGAAAAGTTCACGTTCCCGGCTGAATCCCCTCAGCTCAAGGGAGAACTATCTAGCCTGGCTTTTTAAGCAATGGGAAAAATAGGCAGCAACAACAACAAACAAACAAGGAGATGGTGCCACACTAAAGGTAGAAAGCTGAGATCAACCCCCAAGGGGGTCTTCTGACCCCTGCATGTATGCTACGATACACTCATGCCCACACTCACACAGAGGAGCATAAACATTGTACACACTTTATACACATACATACACACACACACACACACACACACACACACACACACACACACACCCTCGGGGAATAAAGTATTTAATAAATAATTGAAGCCATTTTCCAAAACTCTAAAAACATTTATAGAAATATGCAGTATTAATTATACCTTTGACTAATCATGAGCTTTTTTTTTAATCCAAAAAGTTAAACTGAATAAGGAGATATATAGTCAATTTAAGTAAATGTTGGCATTAACAATCCTTTCATTTCATTATTATAGTCAAATGCTCCCAGGTACAATCATAGCAAGATGAAATTGCTTTAAAGTAACAGACTTTTAAAATGAGCAGAAATCAAATCATTGGCCCAAAAATACAAATGAGGATTCATTTCAATAACTGCAAAGAAACTTTAATTTGAAACAGTCTATTGTGAATGCCTTTCTGGGAAAGAATGAATCCGACCAAATTTTAATTATCTGCTACACTGTACTTTTTTTCTCCAAATCTAATTCTTTTCTTCTACATTATGATAATGTAAAGAATTTTTACTGTAGCAAAATGAATAAAACATGTTGGCAAATTCTGTAAGCCTAAGACAAAATAATATTTACTTGACGATTAACAAGCGTAAGGAAAGCTGGGCAGTGGGTGGAGCATCCCAGCACTGGGGAGACAGAAGCAGGCAGATCTCTGTGCGTTCAAGGCCAGCCTGGTCTACAAATCGAGAGTTTCCGCATGGCCAGAGCGGTTACACAGTGAAACCGTGTCTTGAAAAGACAAACAATAAAAGAACAACCAAATACAAGGATACAAGGATGGAACCATCCCCAAAATACTTTGTTTATGCAGGGAACAGATGAGGTCCCGAGTCACTGTGTATCATTGACACAAGCACTACTATGTGAAGGATCCAGTGCCTTGGATCCATGAGATTGGCAAAGGCCTTCCCCAGGTCAGGCTCTGAAAAACAGCAAAGCCTTAACCTGGTCCCTGGTCCTAGCTGTGCCTGGGAAATATCAAGGAAACGTCGTCCTTCAGCTTAACTGTAACCTAGAGAGACCCTACTGAGATGGGCTAGCCTGCCTCCTACCTCAGCTGTGAATAGTGAGCCCAGAGATTCGATTCCAGCTGTTGGTGCTTATTCATCAGAGCACACGACCCGCCCAACCCCGGCATCTTTCCTCATTCCCCATCATCCCAGAAAGGTCAACCTCAGAGTCATGCAGGTCCAAGAAATTTTATTCTTTTATTTTTATTCCATGCTTATAGATGTTTTGCCTGCATGTATGCCTATGTACCACATGTGTGCCTACTGCCCATAGACGCCAGGAGAGGGCATCAGACCCCTTGGAACTAGATTTACAGAAAGATGTGAACCACACTGTAGGTGCTGGGAATAAAACTCGGGTCCTCTGGAAGAGCAGCCAGTGCTCTTAACCACTGAGTCATTCTCCAGTGAACTCCACCAAGTAGTCCAAAAAATTGTAAAGATGTGTTTTCCACCTTTAATTATATGTATGTGTGGGTGGTCAGTGTGTGGGTGAGAGTATGTGTAAGTGAATGTGTCTCAGAGTCCAAAAGAGGTATGCATATCCCTCAGTCATAGGCCAAAAGCTCAAGACACTGACATTTGTGGCGGTACCAGTACCAGTTTACAACACATTACACAACTGTATTTCATCAGGGGCAACAACCATTTACTTACAGGGACAGGTAGGGAAGAGAGCTGTCTTAAGCAGGCAAGACTGAGACACAGGGTGGCACCCTGTGTAAACTGTAGAGTGCACCGTGCGCTCTTCATACAAATATTTATTTTAGAACAAAACAGAAGTCCAATGAATAAATGGAAACCAACCCTTCTCTCCTTCCCTTCCTCCCTTCTTTTCTCTCCCACTTCCTCCTTTCCACTCTCCTTTCTTGCATTAGGAATAACTGAGCCTAGGGCCTTCATGCCCCCTAGGACTCACCACCTAGCTCACTCTGCAGCTCCCAAACATTGTCATCACTGAACCAAACAAGTTGGTCAATCACCTGAATGGGGGCAGCTTTTCATCTTTATGCCGTTGTCGTGGAACAAGTCTGATAAGGAAGGCTCCCACGGAAAATCCTTTTCCTGAAGGTGGAATAGAGACTGATTTGAGAAAGAAGAGAGACAAGGAAGATCTTTGGGCTAGAGCAGCATGGTGATGGGGCATGAGGGGCATGAGGGATGCAAGGTGCCATTGCCCGGGGCTGGACGTCTTGGTCCTGACATTTTCGAGTAAGAAGCTTGGGATTCATTCTCTAACTGGATCTGTCTTTGTAAGAGTAAAAGCAATTTTATTTGAAAACATTTCAATTAATTGTAAAATGCTCTGAAAATATCGATTACATTTTCATAATCAGTTGATTCTCCTCAGTGCAGGTCC